TTATAGAGATATTTAGTCTATAGTAGTCATTGTGAACTCAATGAAATACATAAATGTTTGTAAATGACTGCATGTGGATCAAATAATAGGGTTTCTTTTGCTTTCTACTAAAGTGCTGTTTCTCTCTTTAATAAGCTTTGTTGCATACAGTGGTAAACATCAAGCATTAAAGTTCTGCAGCAGCTACAACGATTTGCTGCACGTCGTGCCTGCTGCAGAGCCTCAATGATGTGTTGTGATGTTGGTCTAAGTGCATAAATAGCGCTCCTCAAAATTTAAGTCCCACCAATTGAGACAAAGTTATCCCCACTTCCCTTTGGGTGTATTTGCATTTGACCAGGAAATGCTTTTTACAAAACTGGGATATTCAATCCCAAATTCAATTCTCAAAATGTTGATTCAACAATAATACCGGAACATGAAAGTCATAGGCTTACAATCTTAATCTGGGTTATTTTGTTGGAGGTCTCCTACCTGTAATACAGCTGAGGATTAGAACTCAGAACTCTAAACCCTTGGTTCACGAATCCAAGCCATCAAAATGGCTCATGATATTGAGACTGTTGCGTGAAATTAATCAATGCAGGTAGATACACAAATTTAGAGATCCTAATTGGTAAGTTCATTACCTTTGTTGAGGCATGTGTTAGAACTGGGAGAAAAAATCAGTAAGTTCACTACCTGTATTGATCCAAATTGGGACCTCATTTTGTAGTCTATTGAAGGGTGAAAAATCGGTGGTAGGGAATTTGAAGAAGCTCCAGTTCGATGATTTAACATGCCAACAACATGGTGACCTTAAGCATTTTTTAGCTCATTTTCCTAAGGTGTTCAACGAGTTCTTCCGGTTACTGTAAGATCGTATAGATATCTGTATCATCACAAGGATGAAATGGCAAGACAAATTTAAAGTATGTTGACAAGATACTATCAAAATTTTGTTAAAGATTATGGAAAATTAACCGTTAACAGAGCTAACTAAAAAAGAAGGATTTAAGTGGCGACCCGAAGCGGCACAAGCGTTTGAGGAGTTTCAACAAGGTGATGACCACCTCTCTAGTTTTAGTGTGCTAGAATTTTCTTAACCATTTAAAATTAAATGTGATGCGTCGGGAAGAGGTGTTGGGGCAGCGTCGATGCAAGGGAAAAAAGAGGCTTAAGCAGTTGTAAAAGAGCCTTAAACATTTGTTACGGTGAAGAATCACTATTGATGATCAACAAAATTGAATTGGCAAGTTATTAGGTTACCATTTTGAGATCATCTATAAATCGGGTCTGAAACAAAGTTGTTGGCTCCTTGTCAAGAGAGTTTGAAGGAGAGTTGGATTCTCTTATGTCCTTCCCTGTACGATTGCAAAACCAATAGGTGTAGCAAGAAGTACAAGAAGATGAGCAGATGAAACAGGTGATAAAAGAGTTGTTGAGATACCCAAGTTCTCCAAATGGATTCAAACTCAACAAGTGATGTTGTGTCAAAATAGGCTGGTGTTGTCTTCTTGCATTCTCCAAAATTTGCAGGAATTCCATTCATTAACCACAGGAGTGAAGAAAACTGTGGAAGAATATGTGAAGAGTTAGTGATGTGTGTCAAAGATGAAAGTATTTTGCAGTGTCGCCTGCGGGCCTGCTTCAGCCTCTACCTATTCCAGAACAAATCTAAGAAGATGCATCATTTGATTTTATTACGAGACTTCCCAAATCGCAACATTTTGAGGCATTTTTCGTTATGGTGAATAGGTTATCGAAGTACAGTCATTTCGCACACTTATACGACAAGAAAAATGGTGGAAGTGTTTATGAAAGTAGTGACAAGGTCATTAGTGAGGTTGCATGAGATCCCATGTGATTCAGATTATGAGAAAAATTGCTATAAAAACGGTTAGGAGGAGAAAATACTCTCTGGTGAGGAGTATAGGCTATGAGTTATCCTTTAATTGTTTGTACTCTTCTATCAATTCCATTAATACAAATAACCGTTCATAATTCATTCCTCGGTTCTTCTTCTATCAATTCCATTAATACAAATAACCATTCATAATTCATTCCCTGGTTCTTCTGTTGTTCGCGTTTATTGTTATATGCACTGTCTTTCTGGTTTCCATCATAGTGTGACATACACTGTCTGTATTAGGATATTCAAATAACACAGCTCTAAACAAAAGAGTGTCCATTTCATATAAAGTGATATAGTAGGCTTAATAAAATACATGACAACATAGAAGTTTTGGTCATTTGACCAGAAAAATGAAATTTCATTAATTAATGATAAAATACAACTCGAGTCTCAAAATTTCCACAACACCCCAAAGAAGTAAAAGACTACAAAAACCTTGCCAGTATTTCTAACCTACTTTAGGCATGGTGATAATGGTGCAACTTATACAACAACACTTTGCCTGAAGCGTTTCCTACAGCCATAAAACCACCACCTGGACTAAAATCAATACATCGAGGATAATGCAGGCTCGTATTTGATTTCGGCCAGTTAGAGAAAACAGTATAGGATGGTATATGTATTAATTTCAAACTGCTCTTTCTCAATGTTGAACAGATTGCTAATATTTGAGAGTCGTGATTATATTTCATGAAATCCACCGTAGAATTCAGGTTATCAATGGTCTTGATAGGCTTTCTCTTTCCACCGAGAAACTCCTCACTATTGTAAATATTCACAACTCCGCTGTCTGAACCAGCAGCAAAATGTGTCCCAACCGGAGAAGTACAAAGGGCTGTGCCGGTTATGCAGCCTTCATCCACACCTTTGTGTATACAAGTCCTTGTTCGCAGATCCCAATGGTAAATGTGGCCATCGCCACCAGTGCTCAACAATTTTTGCCCGTCTTCGGAAAATGCTAATGCTCGAACAGTTCCGTTCATCTTCAGAGTACCAAGTAATTGCTTTGATTTAGCTGAAACCAGTAAAATATAACCTTCATTACCAACAAACGCTATCATTTTAGAATCAGGAGAGACCTCGAAAACTTCCAAACTCTTCTCGTCCCTATCCAACAGTGGACCGATTTTATCAACTCTAGCCTTAACTAAATCAAGACCGTAAAAGAAGTTCCTTCTTCCTGATATTATCACCTGAGACCCATCAGGCAAGAAAGACGCTTTTCGAATCGGGCAGTCTTCGAGAAAGATGCTTTGAATTTTGGTGTTCCGTTTTCCATCAATTTGAAAAAACCTAAGCTTCCGGTCTAATCCAGCGGCGAGAAGCAGCTGGCCATTTCGATGGAACTGAACCGAATTTATGGGGCCATTAGAAGGATCTTGTATATTTGCATCAATAAGTCTCGAGTATCCAATGTGTCCCGGCAACAATTTTGAGCTGCTCTTCACAACCAGGTCTTCATTTGTCCTGAGAATATCATCCACATCCACGTCCACATAACCTCGGCTCACAACAGCTTTATTTTCATCATCTGTCAAATCATCATCAGAAGATTCATCCATTTTTGACGCTGAATCAAGCTGCGCCCAGTCAGTTCCTCGGTTGAGCTTCACATGTTGAGCCCTCAATCTTGCCACATACTCCGAACCAGATATCAAATTCTCGTCCTCCTCCTTCCTTAGCTTCCTTAATCGGTTGACTTTAGCTATGTTCACAGTGACTTTCTCTTCTTCCTCATCCACCCACACCGGCTTTCTATCATCATTATCACAACTTCCATCTGAGAACTCAGCATCTTCTTGGTAAACAGTGAGGACGCTATCTGCAGAACGATCCGTGAAGAACAAATCAGACGCCTTATCCGCAATCCCGACATCCACTTCATCAACCTCCCCCTTCCGAAATTCAAGAGGGGAATAGAGAGACCCGAACAAAAAATTCTCCAGTTTTTTCATTTCTTTAACTTGTTCTATCGCCAACTGTTCTTCCTTCTCATCTCGCTTCCGCTTTTTCAATTCCAAGGCATCAACCTCATCCTCTTTCCCATCAATATCTTCTTTCTTTTTGGTCTCATTATTAGATAGAGCATTTTGAGATATTAAACTCATTTTCAAACAAACCTGAAAAATAAATAAACACACACAACTCATATGAAACCTCTCATCTAATCCAATGTAAAAGTTGGAACCTGAAATACAATACAAGAATAACAAGCCCCTAAATCGACTGTGTTAGTTAATTATTCTAATGGAAAAATATGTGTTGGATTCAGCATATTGAAATTGATAAACATGGTTAAAGGGAAAATGAAATTGAAAGTGTGGAAAATGAATACCTTGGTGATTATTGGGATGAAACACTTCACGAAGCGAAGGTATCGACGATGGTGGCTGAGTGTCTCTCTGTCTGTCTACGGAGGGGTTTAGGGGAGAGAGTGAGAAGCAACACCATAGACGAAAAGGGTTTAGCAATTAGATACTATTAGGCTTGGATTTGATATTCTTATGGGCTTACTTCCAGGAATTAATATGTCACTTTCACATTTTATATATGTTATCCCTTTAATTTTGGCACTTTTATGAAACTATTGACGTAATATATATGATTTTTTTTAAATTTCTGGTATTGGATCAGAAATTTTACGAAAATATCAAAAATTTCGTTGGTTTTTCACTTTTTTACCGTATCATATGTACTTAATTAGAAATTTAAAATTTTTTGGTGTGTAGAAAAAATTTAAAATTTAAAATTTCTGATAATACTAAAATATTTTTTTATTTTTTTTACTTTTACTTGAATAAAATACACAGTGAAATAGTGAACTGACTTAATATATAAATAAAATAAATGTCATAGATATATGTATTAAAAAAATTACAATCACTTCCTAGACAATTCTTCTCAATGCCTGAAATGACCCGCATATGTTAATTCTCATGCTTTTGCATCATTAGAACAACTCTCCCTCCAACGAACAGTGACGGGAGGTAGTAGATAATCGAGTTTCAACTTTAATAGAACCCAATGACATATCAGAAATTTCCAGTATCCTGGAAATTTCAAATTTTTGGTTAACATTTTCTACTGAAAATTTGCATAATTTCCGATACGTGTGCTAGCTTTTGAAAATTGACACGAAAATTTTGAAATTTCCGGTTAATTGCTACTAGAAATTTATAGAATATAAAGAATTTCCGGTAAGCGACCAAAATCCGCACCGAAAATTTGCTTAGCGTACCGGAAATTTCGTTTATTTACTCCTTTGATCAATGGTGAATTTTTTTTAACAAAAATAAAAATTTTAGAGTAAATAGTAAAAGGGGTATTTTGGGAATAATGAATTTAGGGGGTGGCATGTATAAAAATAGGGGTGACAAGTTAATTTCTCGCTTCATTGTATTTTTCTATAATTGGGCTTTAAGATCTCTAAAGTGAAAGAAAGGGTTCATATTTCCACTCTTACGTTTTCTTCTATACCGCCGTGAAAAGACTGAAGTGTCTTGAGCATTCAGAGATGTTTGTACGTATCTATTTTTAAGTCATTTTCAGATGAAATTGATGGGGAGTTCCTATTATGCCAAAATTTTGTCCGGAGATGCATCTTTGTATACACCAAAAGTGTGTCCGAAGATGTATCTTTGTAAACACCATTTATTCATAAGTTAGTGGGTGATCCGAAGATGTATCTTCAGACGCATTTGTTTCATATCCTCGCGCCAGATCCTTCCCTTTTCATTCTTCTTCATTTACTCAAAAGTTCTCATAACAAAAAAGTTGACCATTGAAGCATCTCATCCCTTTTTATAACATTAAAGCATTTCATTGGAGTTCTTTCTCTTCCTCTCACACATCTGATAACATTGAAGCTTCTCCTTGTCATAACTTTATTTGGTATGTTTTTTAAATTTTGTTTTCTTTTTTATGTTTTGGTTTTTAGTTAGTTTTTTAAGTTATATTAGTCGTTTTAGGTACTTTAGGTAGTATTGTAAGCAAAATTAGTAGTTACAAGAATATGCATTGACATATTTTTTGGAATTTTATAGAAGCTATGACATTTATGCCATGATTAAGAATCACAGGTTAGTCTGGAGATGTATCTACGGACTTTCTCAGTACTATTTTCGTAGATGCATCTCCGGATTTGGGTGATTTTGTGGATTTTGCGGATTTGTACTAACATGTTATTTTCCTCTATGTCGGTTTGTAACACATGTGCAATAGATGATAACAACCATGGAAGAGTTAGGCTCAGATGTGTGTTCTAAACCGCGTCGGTATGATGTGAGAGGGACACAACTAGGACCATGAGGCCACAGGTTAATGATAACTTGTTTGATGGCTCACAACCATCAAGTTCGCAGCATCGAGGTTCTAATCTTGTAGTTGTCTCTCTCAAGCATCCACTTCGCAGGGTCACGAGTCCCTAAATAATGCAACATACCTTGTATTCCCTGAAGCCTAGGGGGAAGTCGATGCCTCATTTGACACCTTTTTACTTCATCTTTATGCAAATCATATTGTTAGGCATATTTGAGAAGGAAAGGTGTTGTACCCCAAAATTTTCCCTCTCATTTCTCAAGGATTTTCTCACAAGATCTTCTATGACATCAAGTTTGCAGCACTGATACATCAATTTAGGCTTGGAATTGGCACAAGGGCAAAATGGTCAATTGCATACTGGAAAGTCAAACTTTGACTTTTTGGTCAACATTACAACCCAAAGATCAAATTTCATCAAGACATTCAAGAATATCAAGCTTGATCATCAAGAAGTCAAGAAAGTCAAAAGTCAACTTGAAAAGTCAAGATTTCCAAGACTTAGAAATTTTCTAAGTGTCTTTATACATGATAATTTCATCACTTCATGCCATTCTTTCACTAAGATGCAAGACAGTTCAAAGGAAACTTTCAACATGAAAGTTGTAGATCTCTATGATATCTACAACATTTCTTTACACAACTTCTCCTAAATATGCTTGGATCTCAAGTTATAAATTCATGAAGTCATGACATTTTCATTTAACACAGAATTTTTCAATAGATTTTGTTCAGGATTTTATCTCAACTTCTTGGCATTTTTTCACATAGTTCCAAGATGATTTTGTAAAAATGGCCAACATGAAAGTTATAGAGGGTGTTTCAAGCTTTCCAAAACATCCAAGAGCATGAATTTATCATATTTGAGCTAGAAGATACAAGGATCGGAAGTTGAGCATTCATTCTTGATTTACAAGCCATTTTTGTTGAAGAACACATAATCCAATTGGCATGATGTGCTGCATAATCTCACTTTGCAGGTCTTGTGACTTGCAAATCTCAACATAATTTAATGTTTACACAAGAGCTTGAGCTATTACCCAAGTGTTTGAGCCATTTTCCAAAGGATCTTTCCATGTATGGCATAAAGGCATCATTGTTATTCTTAAAAAGCAAACTTTTTGAACAAAGTTTGTCTTGAGCCCATACTTTGTTTATTTTCTGATTTCACTCCACCATAAAACAAGGAAACCAACCCCCCTAAACCAGCAACTGTGGTACTTGATCTTGGAACCATGGAATACTGGACATAGTTTGATACTTACATCCCAACAAAACCATAGCATATGGTGTTGTAAACATATTCAGCCTTTGCACAAACCTCTTTCCTATAAATAGAAGAAGCATTTGCAAGAGAAAGAGGTTGGAAAGGTTAGAAAAAATAGAGAGAAAGAACAAGGAGAACAACCAGAAGTTTTAAACCCTTAAAATCTCATATTCACAAAAGCCATAACAGTCCACAAAACTTCCGCTCTTGGGTTTTAAAGACCAAACCTTTGAACCTCTCATACCTTGCAAGTTCTGCCCAACCATCCAAACATTTCATACCACACAGAGGTTGTTTAGTAACCTTCAACAAAAAGGAAAGTCTAGCAGCCTGTTGGAGCTTCCTTAAGGTTCATACAACACCTTGAAGGGTATTTGTTTTCAAAACCTAAAGTGCAGTTTTAAGGTAAGTCATCTTTACCTTGCCTTTTCCATACATCAATTTTTCTGTTTATAGGATGTAGCAATCACTATTTTTGAAGTTAATCTTTATTTGTTATTCATGTTATTCATTCATGTGTTAAAAACTAACTGATGTATACAAAGAATGGTGTTTAAGGCAAAAAAATGCAGGATGTATCGACACATATCCACATGTGTCGATCCATCTTAGTGAAAATACACGGTATGAGTCGACACATGACCCTCATGCATCGACCCATACCGAGTTCAGGTCACAAAACAGAAGCATAAAAGGACTATGAGTCGACACATATGCATTTCGCGTTGATGCAAAAAGGTGTGTGAGTCGATACATCCCATTATGTGTCGACCCATACTGAACAGATTTCACTTTACAGGGGCAAGGAGAAGCTACGTGTCGATGCATAGCAGCATGGGTCGACACATAGCAGTTCAAAAGTGCATTTTTCCTTTATTTTGAATTGTTTTCACATTATTTTTATTATCATTCGATATGGTTGTAATATTTTAATTCCTACTTCACCCCTATTGTTAAATTGTACCCCCATCCCCCTAAAGTGATGTAATAGCTTAGATTTTACTTTTCGCTTTTTACTTGCTTCTCATATATTGCTAGTAAATAAGTGTGTATGGCAAGATAAAAACAACAAAATAGAAAACCCTAAATACAAGACAAAATCAAAAGCATGAAAAATGATACACTTTGCACACAAGCACCCTTAGGGTTTTTCCCACTTGGTTGCCTAAAATAAAATGGCCATGTTTCGCATGCGAAGTATCTTGGCAAAAGCAAAACAAAACAAATATAAGATCATAGCCCCTCGATGACGCTATTCAAAAGTTGCCTAAACAAAATGATCTTGGTCCCTAAAATGCTAAGATACTTTGCAACATTGCTATCATGGATATACAATGACCCACGCCCGTCCCGTTTACATCCAAAGATAGGGTTGTTTACCAAATCAATGGTAAGTCAACAATGTCAAAGGAATAAAAGATGCATAAGAAAGACATTTGAGTAGGTAGATAACTTCTAAGTTACTTGCTCCATTTCAAACAACAATCCTTGCTATTTTCAAAACAAACACATACACATTTCAAA